TTGCCTGAGCGAGACAGTGTCCAGAGAGCTCGACATTCACCCTATGAGTTCTCGCCTGAGCGACCCAATCTCACTTAAGCGAGGTCACCCTCGCTTGGGTGAGGCGGCAATTGGACTGACATCATCTCGTTCTCGCCTGAGCGAGCATCTTCTAGCCTGGGCGAGCATCTCCTCGCCTAGGCGAGATAGCTCTGCAACCGACTTTCCCTGCACGAATCATCTTGCTTGGGCAAGATTCACCTCGCCTGAGCGAGATCTCCTGCACCTACCACCCTTCCAAAATCATCCAAACTCTCATCTAAATGCTTTCTAATACTAGTTAGCCACAATTACAACATTACAAACTACGCACAGCTCATCACACAGCTTGTATATTTCATATTCCCACATAATTCCAATTTACACCATCCTAATCAATAGAATTAATAATAATTAAACATATAATTACACCAATATGACAACATTCCCTTTACACACTACATAACTAGGTTTAAGTAGTTGATACTTTGGGAAAAACTTAAGCTAACTAATGAAAACACTAACTCTTTAGTTCTCATGGTGACACTCGCTATTGTATGTAGTTACAAGAAAATTACCTTGAGCTTTGCTTGTCCTTAAGCACAATCATGAAATGTCTATCAAGTAAATAATGCAATAAACACCCAAATATCTATCATTTGCCTTAATCCATAACAATCCAACTAATTTAATGACATATAATGATAAGTTCATATTTTGATATATTTTATAATTTATATTTATACACTTAAACCCTGTTTCATATATATTTACACTAATTATGTTATTAATTGTTGTAGTTTAACTAGAAGTTGTTATTAGTGCATTATAGAGATATTCTGGATAAAATTTAGATACTTTTAGTCCTTGGCTGTACTATGCAAAATATTAATTTAGTTTGGATCAAATTTTCATTTATTTATGTATTATTTAATTATTTTATTTTTTAAAATTTTATTTATTATTATTTAAATTTAAATTTAAAGTAAATAGTAGCTCAAAAATTGAAATGAGTTTGTTAAAAGATAAAAGAAATTTTAAAGTAAATAAAAGTATTTAGCAAAAAAAAAAGTAAATAAAATAATACACCATATATTCATACAGTGTCATGATAAAATTGAATAAAAATAATGTTTCTAATAAAAATATAATAAAAAGTAAAATAATTTTTTTATAATTGCAGTTTAGTTTTAATAATAAAAACTAAAAACCAAACTACTGTATGAAATATAATTTTTAATTTTTGATTTAATTAATTTTTAAAATTTTCAGATGAATTTAGTAATTTAAAAACAGTTTACTAGATGAAAGATTAGGTGAAGAGTTATGTATTTTCTTTAGTTACATGATTTTAAAAAATAAAATTACCGTTCACTATAAAACAAACGACGCAATTACTAGTGGTGACCTATTTTAATTGGTTTTATTTCAACCATAACCATTAGAGTATGAGTCAAACAGGAATAAAGCTTATTCTTCCAAGCACGACGTCAGGGATCAAAGTTAAATATAGATAATATAAATCTTTTCATACTAAAATAAAGGTTTTTATGGTCAGCGCTGGTAAGATAAAATTAAGCAACCTGCACAAAGATAAATAATCAATAATAATAAAATTTTATTAAAATATTTATTATGTTTTTACAAATTTAATATAATAAATATATATTTATATAAAAAATTATTTATAAACACTTAAACTTAGTTTTTAAACAAAACCTAAAATTAAATAAAATCTTAAGAATGAAAAATATAAAATAATATTTTTAATTGTTCATTAAAAATAAATAAAAAGTAAATAAATTTTTAATTAAAATTATTATTTAATGTAAATATATTAAATTTTATAATATTTATAATTCTTCATAAATTTATCATACATAATTTTTTATTATATTCTTGAACATACGTTAAAAAATTTTAAAATAAAGATATACGTTAAAAATTATATTTTTAATATACCTAGAAATATATAATAAAAAAATTAATTTATTCATCTCATTTAGTTTTATAGTTTAAAATTTATTATTTATTAATTTGATATTGTAAAATTTTAAGCACATATTAATGAATTAATATCAAATTAGTAAACTAATAATAACTCTAATTTTTTTGAATTTTGTCTTCTTTAATAGTGTTGGGTAAATATAGCTCGTAGCTTATAAATTTATAATAAATACAGAATAATTTTTTTTTATAACTTTTGAAAGTTATATTTTTAAAATTTATTTAAAATAGTGTTTATCTTTCAAAAGTTAGCTATTAATATTCTATTATATTTTTACCTTTTATTTAAAAAAAAAAAAACAGATTACTCATTATATAATTAAACTTAATATAAATAATTTAATTTTATTGTCTTTTGTCTCTACATATTTAAGACAGTCTTATTCATTTTTTTAATTTTTTTATTTGTGCTCCTATTTCTTCTATCTAAATATATTTTATATTTAAAAAATATATAGTTTAGAATATTTCATGTTTAAATATATATGAAGAACAATTTTATTTTTATATAATTAATTAATTATAAATAAATAAAATAAGTGATAATTAATTTTAATATTATATTAATATAGTATTATATGTCCTTTTAAGTTATTTAATATAAATCAACTAGTTGTATAACTATAAACTATTTTAATTCTATAAACTATTTATACAACTATAAACTTTTAGCTACAAGTTTATAACTTTCAGTTAGCTTTTTAGAAACTTACAACTTTCAACTTGTTTTACCAAACATAGTTTTTATCGTATATTATATATAATCACTTATTGTTCATAATTAAACATGTAAGATTTTAACTAAACTCTCACTTTTATTCTTGACATAGTAAATTCTAAACATTTTAGTCTTTAAAATTTTAAAAATGTTACCTGAGTCTTCACTTTTGTCTTTACCATCATTTTAATCATTTGAGTCACATATTATCAATAAACAATAACAAAATATTAATGTCATATTAAGTGATATGTACGATCAATTATGTGACAAAATAACAATATAGTTTAATATATATTTTTATTTTATTTTAGTTCTTGAAATTGTAACACATTTTAGTCTTTAATTTTTAAAATCTTTTAATTATTTATCCTTATTTTTATTTATTCTTCCTTAACTCTTACTATTAGAAATATAGTATTGTTGATTATCATGTGTGTTTGCATTCTTCATTAGAAACATATTTCTCATTACAAAATTAACTACAACAACATCATCATTCATTGTAATACAACAATAAGGGTACCCTAATTCCATTGGGTTTTGTTGTCCAACACAAATTTTGCTACTTAACTCATTCACTTCATCCATCTCTTCTAATTTTGAATAAAATCAAAACTACTGTTAAAGTGATACCTTTACAATCTCTCACTCTTTAACTTATGTAGAGTGTTTTTAAAATTGCCTAAGAAACTCTCCCAAAATGTAAATTTTAAAAATTTAGATGGTCCAAATGTTTTTCTTATCTTCTCAAAACCTATGTTCTCTTAACCTATGTTGCAAAACTTGTGACTAAATATCCCATGGTATTTGTTATAGCCAAAGAATACTCTTTGCCAAAACTCAAGTTATTTCATTTTATTAGTAGTTTTCAACACTGATTATCTAAGATCCTAACAGGTTACTTACATTATCTTGTGGAGAAACTTGAAAAAATGTGAGTAAAGGATATAAACGTAGACAATGACCAATATTGATTATTTCAAGAGATAGTAATGTTAATGAAAGAAAAAAAGATGAATAGTTGAAATATTCTAAAAACAAAAGACTAAGAGTATGTTTGTTTACATTTTAAAAAAAGTTTTCTCTTTTTGAAATATTAAAATACAGTTTTTAAAAAGAGATTTTTTTTAAATACAAACAAACATGTTCTAACAACATTATATTTGTTATACAATCAATTATTCATGACACTCAACGTGACATGTAAATATTTTGTTACTTTGTGTAGGATTAAAATGATAAATAGAAACAAAAAATAAGAGATTAATTTAACATTTTAAAAATTTTACATACTAAAATGTTTAATAATTTCTACTTAAAAACTAAAATAAGATTTAATTCTAAGATTTTATATCCTATTTAATGTAAAATTTATATTATACTTCATCCTAAAAACTTTCAAACTAAATTTTTATTAAAAAATAATTACATATATATAAATATTTATAATTAATAAGAGATGGTTAATTCATAAAAACTTGCATTAAATTCATTATAAATTTCTATTTAGATGTTTAAATTAAATTACAAACTGTAAATATCTTTAATATTAAATAATTTTCATTAAAATTAAATTACTAAATACAAAATTTATTCACATGTCATACTTACTTTATAAGTTGAACAATAAAGTTATTTAAATTTTATTTATAATTTATTTTTTTATAAAAATGTAAAATGTAGAGAGACGCATAAAGACTTAGCATAATAAAATTTAAAAATAGTAATAGAATTATTTCATTTAAAAAATATAATATCAAATATAGTAATTTTTTAAAAATTATGAAAATATGAAGTTAAAAATTATGAATAACAATTTTTGATGTAGAACAAGAAAAAGTTATAAAATTTAAAAAATTGTTAAAAATATAAAATTTTGAAAAAATTAAAAAATAATGTTAAAAATTGTTTATAACAATTTTTAATACATTTAAAAATAGAAAAAAATTTATAAAATTTTAAAAAATATTTTTAACAATAGTTTTTCAAAAATATTATAAAAAGTTAAAATTTGTCAACAATAGTTTTTTAAAATTTAATAAAAATGATTAATAACAATTTTTTTAAAAAATAATTTTTTAAGGTATCTAAAAATTTAATTGATAATTTTTAAAATTGATAATATTTTTATGATTTTTTTAGTACACCTTATTTTAATAATTTTTTTCCATATAAAGAGAAGCCCCACGTTAATGACAAGAAAACAAAAAGTAGAAGCAAGATTATTATTGTCTTGTCAACACGAAGTGAGAAGAGAGAGAGAGGGACAGATATATTGAGAGAGAGAGAGAGAGGCTGCTAAGTGGAGTGAGTGAGTAGTATAAATGTACAAAGTCTCCATTCAGTGTCTGGCACCGTTCACATTCTCACTCTGTTCTCTCTCTTTCTCATCACCCTCTTATCTTCGTTTCTCTGTTCGTGCTACTTCTTCTCGGTGCGTTCTCTTTATCTTTCTAAGAATAAAGAATTTTTTAAATATAATAGTAATAATAATATTGTTTTTGGAATTTTCAACCATCTTCCTGCAAAAAAGGAAGAAGAATGATTCAATTTAGCTGAGATTCTGATCTATGCCCAGAAATGGGTTTTTGCGTTTTGAGATTGCCCTTTATGGTTTTGCTTTCTGTTGGCTAGAGGTTGATTTTGATGTTGTTATTCTCATGCATCCCACTTTCAAGTATGTTAAAAGTTGTTGCTAAGCTTGATTTAGTGAAACTTGTTGTTTGTAGTATGTTGAAGTTGGTAATTTGTTTTCATGGTTACTGTTTTGCTCTATTGATCTGTGTCTCCCTCTTCCTAGAATAATATGATTAACAAGTCCAAATCTATGTTTATTCACTGTGGGTAATTTGGGTTTGTTGAGAATTCTAGTAGTTGTCGTTTATTATGTGAATTGTGTTAGATGTCTGTATTTTTTTAAGATGGCCAAAAAAAATAAAAAAATTGCAGATGTTTGATGGCTGTTTGGTTGCTTCGAGTATGTTGTTAATATGATTTGAATTTAAAATCTCCTTGAAATAGTAGGAAGGAGCAGAAATGATTGATGAAGCTGAGAGACTGGGACACGGTTGTAGGTTGCCTTAGATTTATAGAACTTGAATTAAAGACAACAGAAATATTTAAGTGTAGTACTTAATGAAGGATTGAGTACAATGACTCATATGACTTGTATTTATCTATATTTCATAATGGACATTCTGATATTTATTCGTGGTGTACAATAGAAAGCCCACCTATTATCTTGAGGAGGTAAAAGAAATTGCTCAATTTTTTTTGTACATAGACGAGAGAATCTTGGATTGATATGCTGCAGTAGGTTATTACTTATTTTATTTGTGAATTTTCTTGCATTTGGGGTAAGCTGATGAATGATGATTTAATTTCAATGCCAAACTCATCCACCTTTGTGGGGGAAGTGATGAAACAATCCCTTGAGTGGTCTTTTACCTTCAGATTCCATGAGTGGAGGTTTCATAAAAAAAATAAAACAGTTTCATTTTTTGAGGTGTTACATTGGTTACAGGTTTTTAGTGTTGTCTCACATCTAGTTGTTTTCTGATCACATTCAGTAAAAGAAGTTAATACACATGCAATCCATTTGTGGAACATTCAAGCATTCCTCTTCATTTGTAACTGAGTATTTGATTGTCAAAGTTCTTCTGTGTCTCTTCTTTGAATCTAAAGGGATGAATTCAACAGTGAGTCATTTGATATTTTTGAATCCTATGTCTATTGTTGAAGACATTATTAAATCTGGTCGCTGATGTATATATGTTGTGTTTATGGTATGTTCTTCACCAATTTTCCTAATGAATCTTTTGGGTAAAGGATTTATTTGGCTGTCTTGAATCAGCACATTTTTATGAACGATCAATACTGTCTTTTCATTGTTTATTTATTTATTTGTCATTGAAACGATAGAACTGGATTTGTAAGAATAAGATGATATTATTTGAGTTGGTCATATGAAGTATTCAAAATGTGGATTTGCAATAACAGAGCAATGGCATCTCATATTGTTGGTTATCCCCGCATGGGACCCAAGAGAGAGCTTAAGTTTGCCTTGGAATCCTTTTGGGATGGGAAAAGTAGTGCTGAGGAGCTGCAGAAGGTTGCAGCAGACCTTAGGTCAGCGATCTGGAAGCAGATGGCTGAAGCTGGAATCAAGTATATTCCAAGCAACACCTTCTCATACTATGATCAAGTACTGGACACAACAGCCATGCTTGGGGCAGTTCCTGCTAGATATAGTTGGAATGGCGGGGAGATTGGATTTGATATTTACTTCTCCATGGCAAGAGGGAATGCATCCGTACCAGCAATGGAAATGACCAAATGGTTTGACACCAACTAGTAAGTAAATCACCCTCCCCACACTCCCACAATTTTGAGTTTTACATATAATTTGATTAAATATAAATAATAAAAAAAAAGAGTAGGTTAGTGTATGAATGGAGATTTTGATGTGGCCTTTGAAATAACTGCAGGAGTACATACACACTTATCACTAAATTTGATTTAGATATATAAATGAAAAACTGGATTTGGCAATTTGGTTTGATATTTGTCATAATTGTAACAAACTTATAATCTCTTGTGGTGCAGCCATTACATTGTTCCTGAATTGGGTCCAGATGTTAGGTTCACCTATGCATCACACAAGGCAGTGGATGAATACAAAGAGGCCAAAGTTGTAAGTTTAAACATAGCTTTTGCACAACTATCTTATGTTTGATCTAAAACATGTAGACTCTGGTCTTAAAAAATGTTCACTAACGATGACATACTACAAAAGACTCTGATCTGGGAAGAATGTTTCTTACAGAAGTGAAAAAGAAATTATTTTGAATTATTAATTTCATTCACCAATGTTTCTAACATTCTTATTCTTTCTAATATGCAGCTGGGAATTAATACCGTACCTGTGCTCTTGGGACCTGTATCTTACTTGTTGCTGTCAAAACCAGCTAAGGGTGTTGAGAAGTCATTTTCACTTCTTTCCCTAGTTGACAAGATCCTTCCTGTCTACAAGTATGGCCTTGAAATACAGATGTTTTCTTGAATCATATAATAAAGTTACTTTATTCATACTTTGTTATTTATTGTAGGGAGGTTGTGGCTGAACTGAAGGCATCTGGTGCTACTTGGATCCAGTTTGATGAACCTACCCTTGTGAAGGATCTTGATGCTCACCAGTTACAAGCATTTACTCATGCCTATGCTGAGCTAGAAGCAGGCTTATCTGGTTTGAATGTTCTGATTGAGACATACTTTGCTGATGTCCCTACTGAAGCATACAAAACACTCACCTCTTTGAAGGCTGTTACTGCTTTTGGGTTTGACCTTGTCCGTGGAACAAAAACCCTTGATTTGATCAAGCAAGGATTTCCATCTGGGAAATTTCTTTTTGCTGGTGTTGTTGATGGAAGAAATATTTGGGCCAATAATCTTGCATCTTCTGTGAACACCTTGCAGGCGCTTGGGGACATTGTTGGGAAGGGTATTTGTTGTCGATTAACATTTTTATAGACATATATTCAGCGCACTAGAAGCTAATTAGGAACTATCTATTTCTTCTGCAGACAATGTTGTGGTTTCCACATCCTGCTCTCTTCTCCACACTGCAGTTGATCTGGTGAATGAGACCAAGTTGGACCAAGAGATTAAGTCTTGGCTTGCATTTGCAGCACAAAAAGTAGTTGAAGTAAATGCCTTGGCCAAGGCTTTGTCTGGACAAAAGGATGAGGTATACCTCATGCCAAATTTCCAATGAAGACTTTTTGCACAAACTTGATACCATTCTATTTCTAATTGCTTTTCCTTTTGCAGGTTTTCTTTTCTGCTAATGCTGCTGCCTTGGCTTCAAGGAAGTCCTCCCCAAGGGTGACAAATGAGGCTGTCCAAAAGGCTGTAAGTGCTTTACAGGATCTTCAATTTGATTCTTTTACTTGATGAATCTTCTGGTACAAGAATTCTTAAACTGTTAGTTTCATTTTGCTTAGGCTGCTGCTCTGAAGGGCTCTGATCATCGGAGGACCACAAATGTTAGTGCCAGGTTGGATGCACAACAGAAGAAACTGAATCTTCCTATTCTTCCAACCACTACAATTGGATCTTTCCCTCAGACTGCTGATCTTAGAAGGGTTCGCCGTGAATTCAAGGCCAACAAGTGAGTATCAAGTCTTCATCTTGCATTTCCTGCCACATCCAATGATTACTACTGTTTGACATTTAAACTGCTATATGTTTACTATCTGAATAGGATCTCTGAGGAAGATTATATCCGTTTCATTAAGGAGGAAATTAATAATGTTGTGAAGCTCCAGGAAGAACTTGACATTGATGTCTTGGTGCATGGAGAGCCTGAGGTGAGGAGCTGACACTTGTTATAGATAGTAGTTTGATAATGACTTCTTCTTATAGTGAAATATGGTTCAAAACTAATTGTTGAAAAATTTTGCTAATTCAGAGGAATGACATGGTTGAATACTTTGGAGAGCAATTATCTGGTTTTGCTTTTACTGCCAATGGGTGGGTGCAATCATATGGATCCCGTTGTGTCAAACCACCCATCATCTACGGTGATGTGAGCCGTCCCAACCCTATGACTGTTTTTTGGTCTTCAACTGCTCAAAGTATGACTAAACGACCTATGAAGGGAATGCTTACTGGCCCAGTTACTATTCTGAACTGGTCCTTCGTAAGAGATGACCAGCCAAGGTGTGAAAAAAACCTTTTTGGCTACCATGCAAGTTTGAATACTCATTTTGCTGGATATATGTTTCATTTAAAATTGTCTATTTGTTATTAGATTTGAAACATGCTACCAGATTGCTTTGGCTATCAAGGATGAGGTTGAGGATCTTGAGAAAGCTGGTATTACAGTTATCCAGATTGATGAGGCTGCTCTAAGAGAAGGTTTGCCTCTTAGGAAGTCTGAGGAGGCTTTCTATCTAAACTGGGCAGTTCACTCATTTAGGATCACCAACTGTGGTGTGAAGGACACTACTCAGGTTCAGCTTCACATCTCATGTTCTAATCTTTACTAATGATTAATCAATCTTATGAGTTAATAGTTAACATATTGTGATGTTTGGCAGATTCACACTCACATGTGCTACTCCAACTTCAATGACATCATTCACTCAATTATAGACATGGATGCTGATGTGATCACCATTGAGAACTCCAGATCAGATGAGAAGTTACTTTCTGTCTTCCGTGAGGGAGTGAAATATGGTGCTGGAATTGGTCCTGGCGTTTATGATATTCATTCACCAAGGATTCCACCCACAGAAGAAATTGCTGACCGGATCAACAAGATGCTTGCAGTTCTTGAAAGCAACATTCTCTGGGTCAACCCAGATTGTGGCCTTAAAACACGCAAATACACCGAAGTCAAGCCTGCTCTCACCAATATGGTTGCTGCTGCCAAACTTATTCGCAACCAGTTAGCCAGTGCCAAGTGAATTGAGAAGGAGCGAACAGAGTCATCAATGTGAAATAATTCGCTCAAGTTGGAAAACTGAATGCTTTGTATTTCCAATAATGTCTTGATGTGATGTAAGATTTTGTCCTTTCTTCTCCAAAATTGATATTTTCTGCTCTTTGTTTATAGGTAATGTTTTTCAGTATATGATTATGAATATGCGTTTGATAAGCTGGTCTATTGTTTTTTTTTTGTTTTTGTTTATGTTACATATTTTGTTGGAGAACTGAGGGATTTTTTTATTTGAATTTTGGAGGAATGCTATTGTCATGCTCAGAACGCTTAAAAATATCCTTGCAGGCTATAGTTATAGGGACTGTTTCTTTTAGTAGGTTTTGGTGGTGTGAGTAGCTTATTCTGTCACATTTGGAGAAAATCGTATGACCCTCAAAATTATAGCCTGAGAACTATTTTATTATTATTATTATTATTATTTAATTTTAATAAAATTTAACACAAATAATCAAGATAACATAAAATTATAATTTTGCAGTTGGATTGATATAAAAAATAATATTTTATACAAAGTTATTGAGGATATAAGAAGAGAGTTATTCATATTATGTCATATTATTGTTATTCGATTTTGTGCTTACAAATTCATGTGAATCCAGTGCCATGCTAACATAAACAAGTAATGTAAGCAATTAAAACTCTTGAATGCTTGATCCTCCAAAAGTAGCTTTGATTGCATTTTTAACACAAATCCCCATAACCAAGATAAGAAAGATTATTACCAGCAAGTTAGCCAGTTTCTTTTGCTCAATAATTTCCACAACCAAACCAGAAAGTGTTGTAGGTAACCTTTTGTCAGCCTTCTTCTCGCCACCCTTAACCAACCCACCAATTGTTTCATGCATTTCTTTAGCTTCATGGGTTGTAGCCTTGGCCCTATTCTGAACAACACTATCATCATAACTTGGTTGTTCCTTCTCCTTCTGTGATTTCTTTTGAGAAACTTCACTTGCCTTTGGTTCCTCTTGTCTTGGTGCCTCAGTGCTTTCATGTTTCGCTTCTGTTCTGTCCTCCATTGGCTTAGCCCTATCACCAGCTTCATGATTTGGTGCCTCATGTACTGGTGATTTTGTTACTGGCTTAACTTCAGTGTTGCTTTTGGCAAGGGTTATATATAGTAGGCCACCTACTAACTTTGCTTTGATCCCATTGGGATTAGAATGAGGAGGAATGGTGAATTCTTTGTTAAATCTGCTCCATTTGTTGTCACTGATCTGTTGTTCACCTCTGATCTTTAGTATACGGTTTGAGCTTATTTGAACCTTCAAATTCTCCCTTATAAATCCTATACGTTGAAAGTAGATAGTTTTGTTCAATGACAATTATTGCATTTTAGGCGTTAAGACATTCATCTCCAAGATGAAATCGTTTTCATATCAATTAATGATCATTCAAAATAAGACTACTATGTATTAGTTATTTTAAAGTTTTAATTCATTCATTACAATTTACAACCTCTGCCCGAGTCGCTAACCAGTCTACATTTTTTCCTTTCCGTTTTATAATTTTTCAAGACTGTACAATATTAAATAGTCTTTTTAATCAGACAATATAATCCATAAAAAATGTAAAAGAATTTTACTTTAACATCTTTGGCTAAATTATGTTTGGTCTATCAAAATAGTACAATTTTTCCCATTTGTTTCCTTATTTCAAAAAAATAATTCTAATGGAAAAAAAAGAAGGAGAAAGACTACATGGGAAACTAAAAAATTTTGTCAATAGGAAATTATAATTTTTAAAAATTTGGGCATCAAATAAAAAAATTAGAACATTTTATAGGAAGAAAAACATAATTTTGCCAATATCTTTTAGGCAAAGTTGTTAATAGTAGTGATGAATTTAAGGGAAACAAGGGTGAGTCCCAACTCCCCTCTCAATTATTTTTTTCGAAAACTTACATAGACAGACTTTAGTTTTGCTACATAAAAAGTATATAATTTTATAATTATTAGTTAGTATAATTATGTACATTAAAATTATTTATTTTTAATTACTCGCTTATATGTATTCAAATTAATTCGGAAAACAAAATAACGTCAAAAGCGAATTTTATAAAATTGTATTGAAGCAAACATGCACCATTAGTACAGCCAGAGAAAAACTGGTTCACCTCGTAGCATAAGAATGAGGACGTCACTTTGTTCATCTTGAGTCCATTCATAAGATGGTTCAAAATCTTCATAGACACGATCAGCTGCAGATGCATCATGTCTCCTTGGATCCATTTGTGCCATTGTTGATATAATCTTCGCCTCTGCTCTCTGGGAATGTGAAATCCATGGCTACATGTATGTTTCTTTTATACTTCATCGTTGCCTACTTTTTCTTCGAATACAGTTATCCCTTTCCCTGCAAAGATTGATTTACTTCTATTTCTTCCATTCAATGGAAATTTGCATAATTTGTGTTGTGTGAATGCTTAACTTCCACGCTAGGTTTCTTTTTCGATCTCTTTGCATCACACACGTTCTTCAAGGAACATATATGGAAGCAATTCCTTAGTAGGCAAAGATAACGATTGATTTCCATGTATCCCTTTGTGAGGGTTTTGTTCTTACTTCCTTAGGATGCTACTTAACGATTCATATAATATATCGTGAAATATTAGCAGATGATAATTTGGTTCAAATGATACATACATGATTCCCTTCCAGCATTCTTTCAAAATTTGAATGTTATTATTTATAGAAAAAAAAAATTGTTGAGACAACTAACCTCATTAGAATGCAGATATTTTCAATCTGAGAATTGTGTATTATGATAAATATTTGTAATTTTTTGTTAAGAGCCAATTTTATTTAAGTCAAGTAGAATTCCTATAAGTATATTGTAGTTTAAATAAAAATAAAAAACATACATCAATTTACAAATTACAAATTTCTCTTTAATTTTATCTTTTATTTCAAAATTTATAACAAAAAAAAATAAAAATTAATTGTTAAGCACTTTTTATTTATTAGTGTTCATTTTACTTGTCATAATTAAACAAAAAATAGGAGACTACATAAAAATTATGTGATTTTGAACTATCTAAATTTTTTTTTAAAGGTTGTTTGGAAAGGAGAGTTTTGAAAGTTGAGGAAGGACATAACTCGATAAAATTTATATTTTAAATAAATATATTTAAAATTAACTTTAAAAAATAAAAAAATATAAATTAATATATTAACAAAAACTTAATATATTAATAATATATTTATCATTAATATCATAAATAATATATAATTATTTTAATTTAAACCTTTTTTCCATCTCAACAAGAATCTAACAGAAAAAAATGGAAAAAAGACAAAAGACCCCGAGTTCTGAGCTTAAAACAAGTATTTATAAAAATCTCGATTCTATGTGTGACCACTCTTGCTGATAAGAGTGGCCACGCAAAAGCTCAAGTAGTTTTTGGAAACTGGAACTATCACTTTCGCTGGTAAGAGTTACAACGCAGGAGGTCGAGTGGTTGCGCATGATCACTTTCGAGAGCAGGAGTGACCATGCACAACTTGCCTTGATACACTTCTCTCTGGAACATCCACTTTCGCTGGTAAAAGTAGTAACACAGAGCTTGCTAAAATTTTGCCTTCTCTGGAACACTCACTTTCACCAGCAAGAGTGTTAACGCAGAGCTCGCTAAAATTTTGCCTTCTCTAGAACACTCACTTTCGCCAGTAAGAGTGTTAACGCAGAGCTTGTTCTTCTGAGTAACTCTCTGGAACACTCACTTTCGCTGGTAAGAGTGACCACGCCCAGACTCCCTTCTTCTTTTAAGCTCTGGAACGATTACTTTCACTGAGAAAAGTGTTAACGCCCAGTGTGTATTCCTCTTTGATGTCTGGAGTGATCACTTTCATTGATAATAGTGATCACGCCAAACTTGTATTCCATTGTTCTTGTGTTTTGGAGTCCAGAATTGCTATTCTTCCTCTTCCTTTCCATTGATCTTTCATTTCCATGACTTTTGCTCAGATTATTCCTACAAAAACAAGATTAATTTCTTAAGATCTAAGCAGAAATTTCACAAATGCTAAAATAACTACATATTAAAAGAAAACTTTCAATCATTCTATTTTTTTGAGTTTTTATGCTTTTCTTATATATTTTCCTTATCAAATGGATTAGAAATACACTAAAATATTAGTAAAAATATGGATTCATCAACACTCTAGTTTGCTATTTCTTTTGATTACGGCTTTGTTTATGATTGTTTTAGTTCTTTCCTTTAACATGAGTAATTAAGTCCATAACTAGGGCTATGGAAACTATTGTTTATAAATTTATAGAATTTTGAAGTTTGAATATATATTTCGTTTTCGTTTGTGATTAACTTTTATCCTATTGCGAATAATTATAATCCTAGTTAATTATATTGTTAGGCGATCATACCTCAATTAGTTAATGGATCTACAGGGTAAAATGAGACAAAGGATTAGGTTGATCAAACTAATCTTTTTCTTTCAATCGTTATTAAATTAACAAGTTCATAGGTGCTTTATGCTTTCTTTAATTGATGTCTTGCATAATAATTAGTGATATTAATTTAGAGAAAAGAATATTAATAGTATTTGTATGAATGATTAGTAATTACAAGGAAATCAAATATAGAGTTAAATGGAAAATAAAATAAAGGATTGAAAGAGAAAACTCATACGCCCTAGGTTGTTCTCCTATAAGTTCAACTAAGATGTGTGTTGTTTTATTTGCTTTTATTCATAATTAAATTCTGGTTCTTATTAAATTTCACATCTTCTAGGCTCAAACGATTGAATTAAGAAATTCTTAATTGAAAATCAATCCTTGTGAGACGATATTTCAGAAACTTATTTTAGAACCATTTATTACTTGTTGATGGGTATACTTGTCTAACGAACAAATTCTCGTTTGACGAGTAAACTCTCATTTGAGCATGATCCACTCTCATATGGGTGAAAACATTAGACAATGGTTTTCCAAGCTTTTTCTGATATTCTTGCTTGAACAAGTCTATCTCACATGGGCGAAAAGACAGTTAAGGCAACATTATCCCTTCTTGCTTGAGCGACAACACTCTAGAATGTCTGGTCCATAAAACTCAGTCTCATTTGAGCGACACCCTCCGTAGCTACCAAGATTCATACATTTCTAAATTAAAACAAAATCCAATAATAAATATTAACAATAAAGCAATTAAGGAAAAAAGGGTGTTACATACCTTACCTGTGTGCTGTGTAAAGAAGGACAGTAAGACAAGTGTAGTCAACGGTATAGACTGTGTAATTCATTGTATTAGAGGGGGAGTAGGCAGATACCCAGGGTTGGGCACCATGATGAATTGGTCTTGCCCCCCAATTTGAGAGGTCTGCACTGCAACTAGTGTGGAAGTGAAAGAGGGAGTGGTTGATGGAGGAGTACTGCCACGAGTAAGACGCTGAGCAACACATTTTTTTACCTTTACCTACCATACCTTAATCAAACCTAAATATAAGCATGCATACTATATGAACATATTTTATTTTATATTACACAAATTTCTAATATAAATTTTGGTAGAATTTCTCCTAATGTATGAATATTTTCTTATGTATGTTAACACTTAATACAAAAATAAACATTTTCTTCACATATAATCTATATATTATATAAAAATGTATTAATAAATAAATCATAAACATACACATCATAATCCTAAAATCATTCTAGAGCGCATCCTCTTATAACTCCACATATGCATATTCTACAATCTTCACAATCACAAATAGTCTCACAACAAACAATAATTAGGTTCAGAGAATTACTTCTACACTTATCTCCTTAGTCATACCATCTCCAATTCTATAATTCTATCTTAGAAATTTTAAGTCTCTATTCTACATGAAAAATTAAAAAGTTAAATCGATTAAAAGTTAGAGTATCGTACTAGGAACAAAATAGTACAATTTCTTTTTCAAATAGATGCCCCAACCAGTAGCAATCGGCAAAAAATTGAAGATGATAGAGGTAAGGTGGGGTGGGGGGAGGGGAATCAGAGAAAGAAAGGAAAAAAAATGCAAAGTGAGGAAGAAGAAAGAGGAGGTGTGGTTTTCATCTATTTCACACATTACAAATATATTTTTGTCTGTAACTGCTTTGATGAAATACAACATTTTAAAAACCTTAGTTATTGACAAGTTTTTCCATTTGTAAAGAGCTATATGAATTGTTAGAAATATGTTTCAAAATATAGATGGATTTTTCGTATATAATTCTCACTTAATATTTCTCATCTTAGTTTCGAATTACAGACAAATTTTTCATTTGTAATTTCTATATGTAATGTTAGTCATTTTCAAAGTAGCTTTATTTATGATAGAGACACCTCAAATAATATTGTTGTTCTTCACAAAATTGTTCACACCATAACTAAATCTAAAAAGAAAAAAATGTAATATTGGCCTTAAATTGAATTTTCAAAAAACATATGATAAAGTTGATTGATGTTTTTTGGAAAACACTCTTCATTATTTTGAATTTTTTTTAAAAAAATTATAAGTCTTAGTATGTATTGTATTTTTTACTACTTTCATATATCTTTTGTAAAATGATGAGATATTAACTCCACTTTCTCCTTAGAAAAGGTTTCCGTTTAGGAGATCATATATTCCCATATCTTTTGTCTTGTGAATGCTTATAATGAGGAGATGCAAAAAATTTAAAAAATTATATAACATAATTTGCATCTTTAAAAGTAGTCTAAAGATATCTCATTTATTTATTTATTTATTTTTATATATGTTGTTCTTCTTTTCTTGAAAGTAAAATAATTTCAAGTTAGAGTTATGTTTACAGAGGTGAAATTTTATTTTATTTTTTTGTATAAAACCTCTTGTTTAAAAATTAATTTATAAGAATTTAAGACCCTTTTGAGCATATCAAATGTGAAGAAAGATAAGTTCTCTTCTATCTATAGTATCATATTCCCATCTAACATTAGTATATATTTGAGTTTTTCAATTTTCTAGGGAAGAGTTAAAAAAATAATTTTTAATTTTATCATTAACAAAATTCAAGGTATATTGATTAGTTGAAAAAGAAATTTGTTGAATAGAGTTGGAAGGTTTGCTCTTATTTTTTCAATCATTTATTCCTTTCCAGTTTATTTTATGAAAAATATAGATGCCAAATTCTATTTGTAATAAAGAAGACTCTATCCTGTGTATTTTTGTTTGGGCTAAGAACAACAATAAAGGTTTTTAATTGGTTAAGTGAAGTTATGTTGCTAAGCCTA